AAAGGAGATGCAACCACCTCACACAAAACTACTCAAATACCCCAATTTGCATCCAACTTTCACCTTAATTCCATCAACCTTTGCATCTCCGTATCCTTCCAATCTAACTTTAGCCCTTGATAAGACTTCAACAGGTTTTGGAAACACAGTGCCCTGGGATCCCATACCAAGAAGTCCCAGGAAAATTTCTCCTCCTCCCCCTGCTCATTTTACCCACACATGTGCAAATGGCCTCAGGTGTGGCCAGAAGACCCTGGCCCTTATGTCAGTCTTCAACTTGATTAACCCACCTGACCCTGGGGATTCCTGGGTAGGTTTCTTATTGTAATTTTGGTCTTCAGGCTTTTTAAATTCCTCCAAACTCGGGTAAATAGAGCGGACTTGTTTGGTCCTCTGTAATGTTGGGGGAACAATAGGGGGCCCCATTGGCCCACCCAGTCTCTGTAAGTGCTGCATGAACACCTTTGCTTCAACCCCATCAATGTCCACTTTATTCATCCCATTTTTCAATAACCATCTGAACACTGCCACTCAGTTGGGTCAAGCCCTTTGATTCTTCCCTTTGTCTCTCCCCATTTTCTTAATTACTTTAGTGCTTTTGGTATCAGCAAAACCAATGCAGAGAAGCTGAGATAAAAAATCTGATAAGGCTTCTCGAACTGTTGTCCAATTACATAGCAGTAAAGTTACACGGGGTGCCCACCTTAATCACAGCATTCACTATAACCTGTGTAACAGGAATAGTCAGTGGGTGAATATCTCAGTCATCATAAAGCCAATGCCACATGGCTTGCACATGAAGCATATCAGCTGCTTCATCTGGGGTGTTCCATTTGGCATTTATAGGGGGAGCTGGGCAGTCCCCCTTCTCAGGATAAACAGACCTCACAGTGGCCTTTATCCAGCCCACCAGGCTGGCTGTTCCCTTGGGAATAACCCCCCATGAGTCTGGATCATATATAGCCACCTGGGATTGTCTGATAGTGAGCTGTGGGTCCCACATCAGCTCAAACATGCTGTTCCACTCTGAAGCCTTCAAACCAAAGACTCAGCCCCAAACTGGTTACTCTCACAACCCACTTTAGTAAAGGTTTTTCAGGAAGCTGGTGATAGTGATCTACAAAATGAGCCAGTTCCTTCATGCTCCATCCCTGGTTTCAGTCATTCCTTGTTTTTTCACCTCCCCCTACATGACCAGAGGTCTTACAGGTACTTCTTGTTGCTCTGACATAGTTTTTCCCTTTCTAGGCAGCTGAGGTAATGGCCAAATCCAAGCTTGGTTCAGCATCAAGCCCTGACTCAGCACTGTCTTTTATTTTCAATTTGGCCATTACAGATAAAATAACCAGGCAATGGTATATTTAGCCTGTTCCTTATTAGTTTGCACTTCCCTATATATCCAATGAGCCAACTCCTCAGGAGTCGGGTCCACTGCCATTTCTAAATTCCACTGGCAACTTTTACCTTTAGTAACTGATTGCAGCGCAGTTGCTGTCTCACACCATGGGTGACTGCATAGCCATCCAGGCATCAAAAGGTCCTCATACTGTGCCTGTTCATTCTTTCTCTTCAAAACCACATACTTCCATGAGTCTGGGCCAGTCTAACAAATCCCACTTCTCTGACACCAAATGCAATGTTTTTTTTTTCATATGCAACAGCAATAGCATTATACACAGCAGAGACAGTGGCATAACCCTGTTCAGGTTCCCCGACCCAAGTCCAATGTGTGTAAGCATGTTGGGAGGGGGTCTTCCCACACATTCACATTAACAACAAGCAACTCTCCAGCGCCAGCAGGGTGTCCAAGAACTCAATTCTGATGCTTTCTTCTGGGAGACAGCACCAGATTCCCCAGATTAAGGGCTCCATCCTACAAGACTGCCCTCCACCCCCAACTCCAGATGCTGGACCCAAGCCCCAGTCAGTTACCTGTGCTTCTGACCTGCTGGCTTACAGTTTGGAGGTTCCCATGACTTCCCCCTTAGGTTTGATTAATTGGCTACAGCGGCTCACAGAACTCAGAAAACCACTTATGTTTACCAGTTTCATAAAGGAGAAAAGTTAACAGCAAGATAAGAGATACCTAGGGCAAGGTCCCAAATAAAGATGTTTCTATCCTCATACACCCTGGGGCCTGGCTTGGTGGCACATGGAGACATTCTGGTTCCTCCAGTGTAGATTCTCTCCAACACAGAAGCAGGATGGAGCAATAAGTACTTCTCAGGGGTTTTTGTGAGGCTTCACTGTATATTCATGACTGCCTAAATTATTGGCCATTGGCTGATTCAACTTCCTGCTCTTGGGTGGGACTCTAAAAATCTCTCATTAACATATAAAATACCATTTCACCTTTTAGACTCTGCAGTGCTCTCAAGCACTGTGGATGAAGACTAAGTATACTTGGGAAATATATATTTGGTCATATGAATGACTAAATAGGTATTTCTTATGATTCATTATATCTCAGAGGTATTAGGTTTAATAGAGATCACAAGGGTGGGGCACTGATGATGGGAATCAGTGTCCTTATCAGAAGAGTAAGAGATCAGAGCTTTCTTTCTGCCCATGTGAGGATACAGTGAGAAGGTGGCTGTCCACAGGCCAGGAAGAGAGCCCTTCCGGGAACTGACCCCGCCAGGATCTGGACCTGGGACTTCCAGGCTCCAGAACTATGAGAAAACAAATGTGTATTCTTTAAGCTACCCAATATATTGTGTTTTGTTATGGTGGCTTAATCAACTAATACAGATACCTACTGCCTTAAAGGAATCCCTTTGTATTAAATATTATAATTAGTCTTTACTTAATACTATTTATGAATATATACATTTTTGTTAAATAAAGGCATGGTGAGTTGCACAATGTGGAGAACAAATATTTGTTGATTTTCTTTCATGTTCATAGGACAGGCCTGACCTATGGCCTCTATAGACCAACTCACTTATAAACCTTCTTTGTTGAGCCAGGAAAAAGGGTCAAGAAAAATTTTTATTTTAAAACAGTATTACTCTGAAGTATTTCATTCTTAACTATACCAAAAATATTTTCTTCAGTAGGAATTCATTATTTCCAGTTGAACTGAACAAGCTAAGTTGTTAATATCCCCCCTAGGGATTTGCTTCTTAGTATGGCACCTTCAATGCTTTCATCATAGTTTAAACATAGTAAAATCTCATTTTATGCTCCAAGGCATGAGTGATCCTAAATGTTCCTCAATCAGTATAGTGCTCAGCCTGTGGCTTTTGGAATAAGATTTGAAGAGGCATTACAAAAGGGACAGAAAGGGCCCAGACAAGGGAGCAAAATAGTATGCTTTCTTTAGAAATATTCAAAACATCTTTGGGTCTTTACTGCTTGCTTTTAAAGAAAGAGGAAAAAATATGGAAGAGAACCAAATAGCTAGTTTATTTAATTCCTGCTATCCCTTTAACCCATTCTGCTACCTTTTAGAACTCCAAAGAGTCTAAGACCTCCAAAAAACCTATACAGAATTGTGTTTGTCCTATACTTGTTTTCTGGAAAAAGGGCCCCAGGCTTTGCACATAATCTCAAGGAGACAGTCACCAGAAAGGTGAAGAACCTCTTGTTTAAGGGTGTACTTTAGTGGACTGAATGAACAGCTCTCTGCCCACTTGACCAGGTGTAACCACTTGCTGCATACCACCTAAAAGACCTCAGAAAGTGTACCTAGCTCTGCTTCCTCTACTTGGTTGGTTACCTTGTTCCCTGGGTTTTCCACTGTGTGTATGTTTGTACTAGTTGCCTCCAACTTGCCCCTGCCTCAAAGTTGTTCTGCTCTGTATGTCCCTGTTAAATAAGAGTGAACCCTGAGTGGCGGTCACCCCATTTGAGTGAAACCCTCAGTGGAATTTAGTCACATTTATCAATATGCCCTTCTCCCTTATTCCTCTCTACTCCTTTGGAAACCATGTGAATTTGACACAATGCTGGGTGAGTTGTCCATCTCTTTACTTTCTTTGTATTTAGGTCTAGAAATGACCAGGTGGGTGAGGTACTTTAAAGCATTGCAGATCACATCCCTGTGCTGCCATTCCCAGGTGGTGTAAAATTATTTTCCATTCCCACCCTGCAGATGTGAGAAATGGTGGGCTCTTAGCTCCCCAGAGAAGAGTATTAGATAAAAGTAATAAAAGCATTCTGTTATGCCAGTTATTCTGGCACTGTTACATCAAGAGGCAGAGTCCCCTGCACCTGCCCTGGCCATTTCCTCCCTAAGAGTCAGCAGATAAACAAGCACCCACTGACGGTGAACCCCTCGCCCTTCCACCTTCTCCAAGCCTCGAATTTCAAGTTCTCTCCTTGAATATAACTTCGGATCTTCCCACAACCCTCTTGTAGTCGGGTAAAGAATTTAAGATCACCCTTTTCGGTACTCTTCTCACCAATATATTCTACAATCTTATTTCGCTTCCTTGCAGAGCGCAGATAGGTAAGTTTTGTGCATTTTATTTTTTTTCCTAAAACTTGCCTCAAACCAGTGCGTCTGACCCTTCGACATCTAGATCTCAAGGCAAGTAGTAGGTTGGACAGAGGGTTCCCCACCGCCCAGGACTATTTATCAGGAGGTCGGCCCCAAGGGCTGGGGCAGACGCAGGTGGGCTCGCGGCCGACAGCCGGGCCCCGAGGTGCAGCGCCGCGACTCCCCGGAACCCCCGGCGTCGCGTGGAGATCCCCGCGGCGGCCAGGGCCTGCCGTCCCTGCGCGAAGGCTGGCCGGCCGGGCGGAGGGCGCTGTGCCGCGGCCTCCGGCTCTTCCTCAGGGCGCCGCGCGCGCGGCCAGGCCGGTGGGTGGCGGCGGCCCGGGGATGGCGGCGGCCGCGCTTCACCAGCAGGTGGCCCCGGGGTACCGGCCGCGCCGCCTCCTCCCCGGCGCCCCTCCTCTCGCGGGGGCGGTCAGCGCCCCGACCCGGCTCGCACCCCGCCGCCGCCGCCGCCGCCGCCGCCGCCGCCGCCGCCCTCGGCCAGCCCGCCGCGTCCCCGGGGCCGCGCTCGCCGCCGCCGCCGCGTCCGAAGCTGAGCCCAGGCCGGCCCGTGGCCAGCGCGCAGGGCGCCGGCAGCACCCAGCCAGCCGCGCCGCGCCCTCCCCGCCCCCAACTCGCTCCCCAACGGAAAGTTCGGCTCCGGTTGCGTTTTGAAAAGAAACCGGGAATGGGAAGGGGTCGGGGGGTGTGCTGAGGGCGCCGGGCGGCGGCGGCGACGAGGAGGGGCAACTTCTCCCGGCCAAGCGCCTCCTGCCGAGCCCCGCGAGCCGCAGCCCCCGAGTGGGTTCGAGGTGGTTTTTCCCTTTCCTCTGCCTCCCCCTGCGGATTCAAGACACGGACCTTGGTCCTGGCGCTCCTGCTGCTGGGTGACAAGAGCCAGCGCCGCCGTCGCCTCGGCCGCCGCTCCCTCCGGCCGCCCCCCGGCTGCAGCCGCTGCCTGCCGCCTCCGCCAGCACCATGGAGTTCTCCGAGCGGAGAAGAAGCAGGAAATCCCAAAGCTTCAAACTGGTGAGCCGAGGTAAGCGGCGGGCCGGGCCGGGCCGGGCCGGGCGGGGGGCGTGCGAGCGGCGGAGGAAGGACTTGGCGACGGGTAAACAGCCCCGTGCGCGGCCCGCCGCCCCTCGCCCGCGCCTCGGCCGTGCGTCCAACTCCCGGGGTCCCGGCCCCCCAGCCCCCTTCCAATGGGGGCCGCGGCCGCACGCGCCCGGCGGCGAGGAAAGTTGTGCGGGGGGGGGGGGGGGGGGAGGCAGGATATTATTCAGCATAAACAAGTCTGAGGACACATCGAGAAATCAGCAAACAATGACACTTGGGGAGCAGAGAACCCTCTTTGGTATTCCGTCCCTGCGGTTAGGTTGGGGGGTGGGGGAGAACTGCCTTTCCATCAGGCCGTGCAGGCACGAATCCTGATCAGTGGTTGTGGGTTTGTTTTTTTCCCCCAAAGAGAAGCAGGCAGAAAGGTGATGGTTCTTTTAAGAATGGGAAAGAAGCTCATTGGGTGTACAAGTCCAAATGACAATTGTGAGCGACCAATATCTCTTCTAAATAACGTTATTTGCCTTGGAAATGTGTTTTAGAATAGATCACTTACCAGTCAGAAAAGTATTTTTTAAAAATCCAACCAGTTCCAGACGATTAACAGGTGAACATTACAGTCTTTGGGCTTGGGTTTATTTTATCAGGGGAAGGGAAAGTTGAATAATCTTGTCTGTGTTCACTTACTTGTTAGACTCTTTATTTAACTGATTTTTTTTTTAAAAAGACTATGAGAACTGAAGATAAGAGCAGACATAAAGATATGTCTGGCAAAATGCATTGTGTCATCTTAAATTCTGCATATGACTTCTTTTCATCCTAATGTCACAAGTCCTCATATTCAGTTTAGAACCACCCTATTTAAATATCTTCTTTGAATCTACTTGAGATCAAAATCAGACCATAGAGACTGTCTTCTTTCCCTGTGCTGTTTTATCTAGCATTGGCAGAGTAGAGAGCAAAGTGATTGTTTCAACTACCTGAAGAAGTTACGTGTAAGCTGATGGTAATTGGAGGGCAATTGCAAGAAACAGCTAATTCAACTAAGCAGAGCTAACTATGATGTAGATTCAATAAAGCCTGCTTTCGGGTTAGTTTGAAAATGGTTTGATTATAGACATTTTGGAGATCTACTCATATCTGTTTACCCTGATTTAGTTTGGATGCTGTTCAGTGAAAGAGGCCTGAAATAGTTTTACGTATTCAAAATACTTGGTGCTTCCCTCTTCCTATGTACATTTTTTCCATCAGTGTTGATTACTCAGTCATTTGTACTTCAAAAATCTCTCCATATGTGACTGGCCTGTTGGTTTATTGATTCATTCCTGAATGTAGGCTGCTTTCTTTTTTATGGCTTCAGGGAACTTACCACTTTATCTGAAAAGTGAGAGTAGTTGTACAGACCTTGTCCTGAGAGCTCTAAGGCCAACAAAATGGAATAGCTGTTAAAAGGGATCTCTATTTGCTTCTAGGGGATCCTACTTTTTGCACATAGACAATTGCCAAGCACAGGAGCCTTCATAGAGAAGCTTGTAGAAAATTGTGTTTTAAAGTTTGACTGACATAGCAAGTTTTTCTTCTTCTTTTTCTTTTCTTTTTTTTAATTATGTGTCTGATTCTTCCCTCTGCTCTGCAGGTGCATTTTTAGAAAATAAATGATTGCATATTAAAATGTAATAGCTGAAGGCAAAAGAGTCACTTTATGTGAAAGATGAGAATCTTGCTTTCTAATACAAACTATCTGAAATAAAAAATCAGTATTTTTCATGTGTGCTTTCTTGTATGCTGCTTAAGGTCTGGGCCTTCTCTAGATAAATAGAGAAAACAGAGTGTGGGTAACTCTCAAGCATACTATTGATATGCTATACTCAAAAATGGGTTGTGGGGGTAAATTTGGAATTCTCCCCTGGCCTATGACTGGGCAAGATCTTTCTTTTCCTTGTAAACATACTTGTCATTTGAAATAAAGGAAGACTGGTAATTGGCGTCTATGGCCAAACTTACTATGAAAACTATGTGATCAAGCAGAGTTGTTTTCTAAAGTCAAAGCAATATTTCAAGATTGTTTTCTTCTCCAGAGCAAGCAAAGATTTAGAAATTATTAGTGACCACAAATTCTGTGATTAACTTCCCCAAAATTATATATCTAAGTTAAAGCATAGATTACACATACTATATATAATGACATCCTAGTCTTTATTACTTATTCATATCTTGCTGGTCAGTAGAGTTCTAATTTTTTATTGTTTTCTCATCCCACATTATCACCATGAGGTATATAAGATATCAGAATTCAGCAACGATGTTAATGGGGAGGCCAAAGAGACACAACCCACTTTTTTAGGTAGGTTCCTATGTCAATTAATTTCTTAGCAAAACAACCTGGCCATTTGCAATTAAGGGAAAAAAAAAAAAAAAAAAGGTCGTGCCAAAACGGGAAATGTCTGCCATTGCTTAATGTATGACATTCTTTTCAAGACCTTTTATTTTACAGATTGCCAATATATCCCTTATTAACATTGCTAAAAGTTGTAATTTCAGACATAAATGTTTATTAGTGTCTACACATAGTGCTAATTATCACTCACTCCCAGAGCCAGATGCTGACTGTGCAGTTTTGTCGCTCTGCGCTCACCCCATTTACATAGCATATTCGCTGGCATGCTTCACTGGCAATAGTTTGTGTAATTGGGGCATTACATCTTTGACATCTGGATAACAGAAATTCAGTCTCCAGGAAGCTGCTGTTTGTTTGGTTTTGCTTCTGCCTTGGGTTAGATAGAGGATTAATATGCTATCTATTCTAATGTCCCTTCACCTCTGTGGCCCAGTTGCTAATCCTGCCATGACAAAATTAAATTAAATCTACAGTCAAAAAGCGTAAGGAAAATAAAAATGTGATTCTTTTCCCCTAACCACCTTTTAACAGAACTAGTTATCATTGAGAAGCCCCTCATCTTCTGCCTTTGTGTTCATTTCACACCATCATTTTTGGTCAGAGAGACTAGCTGTGCTTTGCTCTTACTATCCTCCTTCCCAGCTCACCTCAGGAACAAGCAGAGCAAAAGCAGCATCTCTGAGACATCAACAAGTGTAGGTGGCCAAAAACACTGCCACTCTTTGCAAGTACAGATGTTGGTACAAATACCATACATGAAGGACCTTGCATGTACACCTGGTTATTTGCAGACCATAAGCCAAAAATTAATCGACCTAGCATTTTGCCACTAAGAGTGAAATACCCAAAAGTAGGAGTGGAGAATAGGAGGTGGCATTTGGCTTTAACACTGCCCATCCTGAACACCTCTGCAGCCCCTGGAAGGAGGGTGAGAGCTGGGTGTTGCACATCAAGGAAGCAGAAAGCAAGAGACAGTCCAGGCAAGAATAATGAAAAGCAATGGTCAGAATTTCCTTGTCTTGGGGAGAGTGATGGGTTGAGGGCAGCAGGGTTGCTGCTCAGACCCAGTCCAAGTAGTGCTGAACCTCAAAACAACATCAAAGCCCAACATGCAGGGTTCTGTAACTGGGATCTCACCTTTGTTTTGAGGAAGAGAAAGGGTGGGTTGCAAAGGAGATAAAATAGGAGGGAAATATCAACATTCTTACACAAGCATTCCTAAAGGCACATGCATCTTTCAGTGGAGGGAGGGAGTGTTACTGAGGCCAGCCCTACTCTCAGCACCTGTTTGCTGCTAAGAGAACTGAAAACCAAAATGTTCATAGTCAAGTGAAAGGCTGTTATCCAGAAGGAGAATATTCTCTTTAGTTACTTAAATTTAAGTAGTTGGAATTCTGTATTTTTAGTTCCCTAAACTTGATTGGTTGGAATTCTATATCTGAGTATGACTTTATTTTGTTATTTGAAATGAAGAATTTACCTATTAGAAAATTTATATGTATCATGAAAGTGGAACATCATGTCCTTGGTTTAGTTACTTTCCAACAGAGCAGGCTTTCTTCCCTTTTCTGCTGTACACTTAGAAAATAGTAAGGACGCTATACATTAAGTTAATTCTGGGCATGAGTGAGTGCAGGATGGAGAACAGGAAGATGCTACTGCTCAGAATTAAGTAAAATGTAAACGCAAATGGGGTGGACGGTGCTGCTTTTGTTTTTCCCGGCTCAGGTCCCGGAAGATGAGAGCCCAGGGCTGGGATGAGCTTTCTGAGTTGTTGGACAAGAAGGCCTTAGACATTAAGAGACAAAAGATTGAACAGCATGGAAGGGTACCTGGGTTTCTTCTCCATCTTTTGCTCAGTCTAGTGATATGGTTCCCAAGGCCATTTTTATTTTATGATCTGTAGGTCGATTTTTTTAAAAAGTAGAACACAAACATAATTTCTAGAGCAATTGGAAATAGTTACTGATAGCATATGAAATTAAGAATTTTGTTGTTGACAATGTTATAAAATTGGCATTGTTTAGTTTATAGTTCCTCTTCTCAAAACATAGATTTAAATCATGTTTGTTTTGAAAGCTGCCAGAGTCTATCCATAATACTACTAGTTATAGTATAGAATTCTATGCACAGTTTAAGAGATCTAAGAGAGTTTGTTAGCAAAACACCGAAATTCTTCACCTCTGACACAGTCCTAACACACGGTCCCTAGGATGTTGTATAGGATTTTCTGTTCAAATGTATGTGTTATCTCTGATACTGTCTGCACCTGTAATATTAAAAAGTTCATGTCTCAGGGGAAGAGAGTGCTCCAGAACTTGGCAGAGTTCCCACATGATATCTATTTCTTTGGAATATTTTTAGGCTGTTGACTAATTTACTGCATCTAACATGGTAGGATAGCTCAGTAGTGTGTGGCTCAGCTGAGTGCTTTAGGGGTGACTGTTTTTAATGTGATAATAGGGCCAAAAGAGGTTATTTTAGACTGTGGACACTGACTTTGTCAAGCTGGCCAATGGATGATGATAAAGATTTGACCAGTGTTTGGAGAAAAACAACTTAATCCATTTTAATCAATTCAACAG